CCCCCCCCCCCCCCCCCCCCCCCCCCCCCCCCCCCCCCCCCCTCGGGTAATAATGTGCACGCCCCAAATCACCCCCCCCCCCCCCCACCCGCTGCCATTCCGCTGGGCCTCTGCTGGGACCTGTTCCTCGTTGAAGGAGATGTTCATGATTTATGGTGATTTCCCTGGTTCTTGTTTCCACCATTTCTTCGTCCATCAAAAGAGCCTGACATACCAGAATCCCATTTTCTTTGCCGTGTCCATTTTCCATCCCAGATTTCAGTTGCGCCGTTTGTGTTCCCGTTTGCTAAGACATGAGTGAGTGAAGCTGCTTTCTCATCAGGTTCTTTTAAATGTGTGAGAGATGTTGATCTCAGCACAGAGGAAGAAAAAATACTTTTTTCAGATGATGAAAGATATGTTTTCCTCTCCCGTTAGGATTTTGAGATGTTCAATACGGCATGAGGGCCAATTCTTTGAGCCCACATGCTGTTTTCCATGTAATTTTGTATCAGTTTTCTAAAAATTTGATTCTACACAAAACTGATTTGAGGTTCAGCAGACAATGGGGACTTTTTTGGCCTTCATTGAGGCATTTATTTCCATGTTATACTGAGAATCCTTGGAGCAGAGAAACTAAGATTTATTTTTCTCCTGTAACAACTACAGTAATCCTTACTTGTCACCTATTAAAGTTCTTAACATGTACAATGTTGCAAAATGTTTTTTTTTTTTTTTGTGAAGTGTAGATATGAAGAGAAAAGTTCTCTGGTAACTGTGTAAAACTGCCCACTACAGCCCAGGAAGAAATGCACTTATGTGAATGGTCATGATTATTACTCGTGAAACCAGTGATGTAAGGAACTGGGCACAGAATTCAGATGCTGGTGGGTTTCCATCTGTAACAGAGGCCACTGTTTACACACAAACAGACAAAGCCAAGCGTGATCGTGGGAATATCCACTTGTAAGCAGGCCTTGTTTGGGCCTGGAACAGGTCAGATTTCTAGGTGATCGGGCTTCTCATTGCACACTATATTAAAGAACATGATGTGTTTGTAAAGCTTGCTTGGTGAATATTTTAGTTAGGTGGATATCCTTTCAAACATGAGCTTAGGCCTTGTAGAATTGTTTTTCTTGAATGTAACAGCACTTTCAGAGGAGGTGTACAATGTGGAAGGGATCTGATATACATGTAGAACAGCAAATGTCTCAAACCTGGCAAAAGTGTTGGTACCACCTGGTACTACAGTTTGCCCATTCTCTTGTGACCCACACCCCCACAGAAATAAAAAACTCATTAGCACTAAAGTTTCACATCTTAAGATGTTCCCTTTGTTTTTAATTATACATCATGTGCCAGTTTTGTGGGTCAGTGACACACAGAAGTCTTGATGTGAGATGGAACACGTATGTTGGCCTACCACTGAAGTGCCCCTGGGCTGTAGTTGCCAGCTTCTGGCAGACGCATTCCATGCGGCCCATGCGATGCCGTGATACGACGTTTCACGAGAAAGGTATGCCCACGGGATGGCACCTCTGCCCCTCTCCATACCGGGCACCACCAGCCGTGTCAGAGATGTGCCGTTTCCATTCCACGGAGGTTTGGAGTTCCCTGGAGCGGTATGCTGGAGACTGCGAGGTGCCCATCTGCCCGTCTCCCTGCCACGTGTGGCCGCAGGAGGAATGCAGCCCGCGAAAATGACAATGAGGATATGAAACGGTCTAGTTTGCTATTTTTATTTTCCTTCTGGGTTGGAACTCCTCTCCCTTATCTCATAATGACCAAGTTGAACTCCTGTCTGTGGTTCCTAGATGGACAGGGAAGAAGGCCTCGGCTCGCCGCCTTAGTCTGAATTAGGGTGTCGGGGATTTGTGCGGTTATATTTAGCAGAAATTGTACTTCTCAGTAATTTTCACTTTCCAGTGTAGTATCTTTCAGAAATGCATCAAGTAGAAATTCTTAACTTTTCTGTGCTTTTGTTTGGGGGTACAAAAGTGAAAAATATTCTTTCATTTCAGAAAGCCCTAAGTTTTGTTTTTTTTTTTTTTGTTTTTCCCCCCCATAGTTTAAACCCCCACCTTGCCCCTGCGCCCCATGGTCCTTGTACAAGCAGGAACTTGTACATTCGTTCTCCGCCAAAGCATAATTGCACTCTGAACTTGGTCTCTGATTTGGACACAGTGATGCATAATGGCTGGTAGGGTGTCCTTCCTTCTGAGCCTTTTAGATCACAGGTGCGCCGTCGAGCCTGAAGAGGCCCCGGCCGCTCCCCTTCAGTGCGAGCCTCGCTAATCCTCTTGCTGAGTCACATGGGCACCACCTGCCCTCTGTGACCAAACTCTTCCCTGTGTGTTTAGTACCTTGATTCTTGGGAACAGACTTCCTGTATTGTCACAGGACAGGCATTTCAGTAAATACTTTTCCACCCTTGCAGTCAGTTTGTCTCCTCTTGTTTACGAGGTTCCTCTCTAATTACTCCCACCCAGGACAATTGACCAACCTTGTGTTATGGTGGATTACTGCAGCATAGTCTGGTGACATGGCACCCATGAGCCGCTCTTCCTCCACTGAGCAGCCGCGCCCTTATCACGGACAGCCTGACCACTCGCGTCTTCCATTCCCTCTCGGCATCATGCTACCTGCTTCTGTATTTCACCTGACACTGTACTTGCTTTTCCACGCCTTTTTGCTTCTGGAGAGTGTAGGCTGGCTTGCAGCACTCGCACGTCTGTGTTTTTGTTTTCCCATTTGTCATCAAGGGGATCAATGTTCTTACATTTCAGGTGCTATGGTTCTAGGTAAGGAGGCGAGATGTCTGCTTTGGAAATACTTGCAAGTACTCCCCCCCCCCCAATGCCTAATGAATAATTTAAACAGCTCAAGAATGCTAGGTGATTAACTCCTGGTTCCGGTTACAATTGCTTCCTGGAGTAATGTTTTGTAAAAAGATTTCATAAGCAGAACTGAATCGTGTCCTGTGGTAATGAAGGTCCAGATACCTTGTTGTGATTCAGAGGCCTCTGACAGGTCATTTTGAGTTTTGTTTCTTCTTAATTCGGCGTGAGAAAGCTGCTGTTTATTTTAGGGACTAATCTTTTTATTTTGACATTTATGGAGATATTCAGGTATCAACCTTTGTACGAAACACAACATACAGTTTTCCTACAGTGACTGAGTCATCTCCCATCCCCCCTCCCATTTTGGTACCATCCAGTCCCCGCTGTCAGGAAAGTGCATATTCCCAAATTGACTTCACCCCCTTGTCGTTCTTGGTATCTTCCTCCCTCCAGCTGGTCAGCATTGGCTCATCCTATAACTATGGAAACGAAGACCAAGCAGAGTTCCTTTGCGTCGTCTCCAAGGAGCTGCACAACCAATCATACGGCACCAGTAGTGAGCCGAGCGAAAAGGCAAAGGTGAGATTCCCGTTACATCCCATGATTTCATTGATTCATTTTTTAAATAATATATTAAAAAATTACATTTAATTGTGCCTTAAATTTCAGATTATTAATTTTGAAGAACAGTTTTTTTTGTTTTTTCCCCCCCTCATTCTGGTGGGGGGTATTACAAAACACTGCATTTAATAGGTTGTTTTTAAAAACATGTTTCCAAGGGTGTGTTTATAATTGCTCTGGAGTATCTTTTCAGTCCCCCAACTAGATGTTGAAACACCTGTTTCACCTTTTTTTTTTTTTGCACTACAGAACCAGTTTATTTCCCTGTATTGCCAGTTCATAGAGCTAGAATTCCTGCTGCCAAGTGCCACCAGTTTAATAGTCCTGTCTGGTTTGTCAGCCACACATTAGTGGTTCATACTATGAAAGCTGTAGCAAAATCTAATGTTAACTGGAGTTTGGCTTGGGCTTCCCTCCCAGTGCACTGGTCATAGACCAGTACAGCCGTACCTCTAGGCCCAACTGGAATATAGATGGACCACCAATATACATTTTGAAGCGTTTTTGGAAATAGTAATATTTGACAGCATATTTTCTCTTGTTCTATATGCTACTTTGATCACTTATTTAAAAGAATGTGAATTGTATAGTCGGGCACTCCATGTTTTGATAAGATTTTCCGTGACTCGTTCACACTTGTATACAGCGAATGATGCCCCTGCTGGGCTTCACATTGCGAGTTGTTTTTTTATATATATATATAGTGTGTATATGTGCGCACACACACAGACAGAATGTAAACAAATATTATACTAAATCCTCATCAGAACATTTCAGGTCTGTTTGTCTTGCAAGCCTCAAGATCGCCAGGAGATCAGTGCCGGTAGATTAGAGGAGAATTCTGATCAGAAACTCCCGGAGATACTATGATTGAGGCCTTGTTATGGATACATTACAGCTATAATTTAAAACTAAAATGATGCATTTATTTACAAAAGCTATTGATGTCTTCTCAATATGTCAGTTTTTTTTCTTTCAACAGAGGTATTGGAAAGTGTTGACTGACTTTACACTCATTGTCTTGAATGGGGGAACCCAGAAATTAACTACAAGACAATATATATATATTTTAGTTTGCATTCTGTAAAGCTTCTTACGTCTATCAAAATGTTTCAGAAAACCATTGAGAGAAACCAGGCAAGCTTCTTGCCCCTCTTATCGGATTCACCTTCCAGCGCTTCCCATTCTCCTCTTTTTATTATTTTTTTTTTTTTTAACTTTTTAAACTTGTCTTTCTCCTTCTCCCCCTTTTCTGTACCCTCTGCATGCTGCATGCGGTTCAGAGTGAGGACGAAGAGACAGATTACGAAATGAATGACTCTGATTAGGTTTGGCCTATGGTGAGCACTAAGCTGCCCTGCCGAGCCCCTGCTGAGACATTCGCTCGGTCGGCATTTGCTCAGACGTAGCGACCTGCATCGCACTGGTGCCCAAATCCCATCCTACAGGCCACCGGCGGTTTCACTTGAAATGAACAAAAAGCCAGTGGTTTTTAGGGTTGTGATTTTCGCCCCCGTCATCCCTGTACCTCTGTTTCCATTCCTTTTAATTCTAAGGTTCTACCACATAGGTGTCAAAACAGGTATGGTTTTCATTTCATGTATAAGAATCATTCATGTTTGAGGTCTTTTTAATTTCATCTGAAATGCACCTTTTTCCCCATTTTCTTCCATTTAAAATGTATTTTTTGACAGGATGAGTGGCAGTTTATAATTCATGCTGGCAGGTTGCATTTATTATCTATATTTAGCTATCAGAAGAGAGGTTTAGCTGGGTTTTTTTCCCCCCCATACTTGATACCACAGATGTTGTTCTGTAATAATTGCCACATCTCTTCAATTTAGTATATTTTTGTGTTGCGTTTACAAATCATAAATGTTACACTTTGAGCCAAATGTTACATTTTGGCTAACGTGTAAGTTCAGGATGTAGAGGTGGTAAGACGAAAAGGGAGAAAATGTTACGCATTTCAAATGGGTTTAGAGCAGTTTAAGCCATATGCCCCGCCCACTCCATCCCGGCACATTGTCCCAGGGTTTGCAGTGCTGACCTTTTTAACCGCAGTGAGAGCTTGTCCGCTTTCAGCCAGTAGTGTCAGTAGGGGATGAAGAGCTTCCTTAAAAAGCGCTTTTCCATCCATCGATTCGACGGATACATGCGTTGTTAGATATGCTGCTCTGGTAATGGACAGTAGCTTTAATATTTAATGGATTCATATTTGTATCTCCTGTCTGCCCCCGGGACCCACCCACTTCTTTCATGGTGCGCTTGAATTTTGTACGTAGGCCTGAGATGGGCTACATAGACACTCAAGCTAGGCTCAGCTCTAGTAGCGTGTGTGTCTGTGGTCTGTAGGGTAGCATCTGCTACTGACCCCTTCCTTTATTCACCCTTTAGCATTGAGTATTGGGGGATTTTTTGGGGTGAGGGGTGTAATGGTGTATTTGTAGGGTAAAGACTGAAGTTTCACAATTTATTTGCCTTGTGTTGCAGATTCTTCAAGAACGTGGATCTCGAATGTGAAGAGAGACAGTATTAAGCCCTAAGAATTTTTTATTTTACTCTGAGCTCCAGGTATAGAGATGTACACACCGCGTTTGATCCTTCAAGATGGGAAAGAAAGAACTTTGATCCAAGCTTCCACCCGTCCTTGTCCTTTTTTTTTATTTTTATTTTTTAAAAGTATTTTGTGTGTGTATATAACAGGTCAGTTTAGTGACTTTCTTGTGCCTGTATAAAACTGGACTTTTTTTTTTCCTCCAATGTTGATTGAACTTTTACAACTAAAAAAAAAGTTAAATATGCATGTAACTTATTAGCTGAGCGAAGACGGTCATTTTTTTTGGCCAGTGATTTACTCAGGGTATTTAATTCATTTTTTCCCCTTCTCTAAACTTGAATTATTTTGAGGGATTTAAGTCATATTTCTATTTCAACGGTCGGTCTCTTTAAAAGGCTGGGATTTTGAGGGCTGGGGTGTGGTCTACAGTTAAGTCTACAGAGGGCTGAGAATCTCTCTATTACATGCCCTGTTTTTTGTTTTTTTTCTCTAAAGCCTTTGATGATAAAATCTCTTGTTTATAGGTGCATTAAGAGGTATTGTCCACTGCAAGAGACTGAGTTTAGTTTTAGGATAATTAATTCTATACTTGCAGTAGGTTTGGGGGGGAAACTTAAGTACATTTTTGGTAGTTTTTTTTCCCCATTTATATTTAATTACAAAGAACAAAATGGGTTTGTTGTTGGACTGCAAGTTTTGTATACTCTAGAGTAAACTATGTAAAACTGAAGTTGCAGGACTGGATCTGTTGAAACGAGCATCATGGATACATGCATATTTATATGTTGGACCATCTCCACCATTTTTTTTGTACATAATTCTTAGTATATTAAGATTTACAAGTAACACCAGGCTTTTCTGCCTGAAGTTTGTGTGTGTGTGTGTGTGCGCGCGCATTTTTTCCCCTTTATTGGCTGGTTTCCTTAAATCTGTTCAAAAGTGAACCCCTTTTTTGCCTTGTGTGATAGCACATGCTCTCAAGCAAGGTATGCTTGTTTAGGTTTTATACACTTGTTTAGGTTTTGTACACTTGTTTTAAACACTGAGATGTGTGGACTTTGAAAGCCTCAACTCGTGCTGTGTGGTTTTTTGTTTTTATGTATTTTTTTAAGGTTAACTCCATTAATGCAGTTTACAATCATGCAAGCTAAAACACTAAGCCTGGATATTTTAATAACCAATAACGTAACTGCTCCAGCCTTACGAACTGACGCTTATGCTAGTCTAATTTGAGAATTCTTATTAGAAAGTATTTAACAGAGTTGCCTTTTTCTTTATGACTAAATCCAGTGTGTGAAGTGCATCTTAAATGTACAGGTTGTCAGTCAGGGATGACTGTAGAACAGTATGTACAAATGGGGCATCTTCCCCACCCTCTTAGATTAAAATATATAGATATATAAAATATATACACATGCACACAAGGGCTTTTAATTATGAAGTTGTACAATCTTTAGAGTTCAATAACAGTGGAGCAGATTCTCTATTGCCACGGCTAGGCAATGTTTACATATGCTATAGTGTTTTGAAGCCTTCCAGTAATCTTGCACACAATTCCTTACACAATAGCTTGTTCTATGTATGGAGATCTAACTGCTCCACAGGTCAGCTGAATTAAAGATGCTTGTAAATAATGCGTTGTGTTCATTTGCTTTGCATCTCATTCATTTTCTAGTTTGGTATATGCTACATAAATACTGATTTAAAATAGAAGTATGAGTCATCTCTTCTTGTAGACATGTACTTCCTAGATTGAAGCGACAGCAGATCCAGTTGGGTGATGGCTGTAATGGGACACACCCATCAGGTCCAGTCTGCCTTCATGAAAACCACAGGGTTGTAATTGGTGTCTTATAGTCCTTTGGTGACATTTCCTGAACCAGGAGGCTCTGTCAGGTATGGCTATGACTGTGTAGTCCTCTTTCCATTTCACCAACACTGCTGAAAATTCACAGCTCATTTTTACATTTCTGTTTGATTTACATGTGTAGTTTGGTAGGTTTTGTTTGGGTTTTTATAGGCCAAATAAAGAGTTTACTTAACCCCTGTGTGTATGTCATTACATATGAGAGTGGAGTGGATTGAAAGGTATGTTATGAAATGTATCGCGAGTAGGCAGCCGTGATCCTGCAATGCTGCTGCTGTATAGCAGGTTTTCTGTCCTATCTGATGAGTTACTACTGCCTGAGACCAGGTGTAGCTCATCCGAGACCAGGTAGGATGAAAAACCAACTGTATACCACCACTCCAGGATCAGGGTTGCCTACCCCTGAAATATATAATGTGTGGATGCTCTGCAATGGACAGGAGCTCCATATATGCAGCCTAGCCTGTGCTTCGTGCAATGCAGACTGTAGGTAGCAGTGCACATCCATGCCCAGATTAACTGCTCAAAGGTGACAATGCAATCCTTTGGTATTCTGTCCTTGAAGGAGCACATGTGGGTGTGTACACAAAATAACAGGTTGTTAATTACAGATCCATGAAAAACATCATGAGGAAACAAGGTAATGCTAGACTAGAGGCCAAAACCTCTCTCACAATAACCTATGACTTTGCATATACATATAGTAGTTGCTTGGTTGAATCTTTACCCATAATTAAACTACAGTAGGATAAGATCACCAATCAGTGATTAAAACTGGTCTAGCAGTATGGTGTAATTGACAGTACTACAGGTAAAATTGCTACACTGCAAGCCACTATTTACTGGTCAAAGCCATGATGGAAAAGTCATGTGTAGCTAATTGTTTTCTCTTAGTAGAAATCTGCATTTGAATTTAAAGAGTATTTCTTATTACCTTTGCAAAATGAGGAAACTGGAAATAGGCCTGTAATTAGGCTATTTAAAATGTTTTTGAGCAGTTCTGCAGCCAGTGTTCTAATAAGTAATGCATGGCAAATTAAATCATACTGATAAGTACCTCTGCAACACAATACATCATGTGATGTGTTTGCATGTATCACTGGCATGGAGTTAATTTGCATTTCCCCCACTTGTCAGAGAAACTAAATTTCAAAACTTCATCTGCAATACTTATATTTTGGCTCCCCCTGGAGTTCTTTTTAATCTCTACTAATCAATATTGTTAAGCAGACGTATTACAGTGATGCGTGGCGCTAACATTTTATGTCTATCGTACACATCGTTTATCTCAAGGATTCGGTTGTCTTACACTTAAACATAATATAGACGATAAGCCTATAAAGAAAACATAAATTGACTGTTATAGATAGCACTCATATTATACATAAATAAACCCATTGTTTTAATGAGGGAGAAAAATGCAATAGTTATGGTCCAAAACATTTTATATGCATGCTATAAAGTATAGTTTACTTGTATTGCTATGACGTAGCAGTTCATATAATTTAACCTCTTGAATTTAAAAATTTTTGAATAACTGCAAAATTACACATTGGAAACAGATTTGAGCCTCCAAATAAGGGTTTGTTTAAAACAAACACACATTTTCATTAACTTCACATATTTTTCTCTATGGCTGAAGTGGAGATTGTTTATCTACATGTGCACCGTAAAGGGTTTGTTCACTATATTTTAATTTATTGATAAATACATTTCTTGCAATCAGTACGGAATTAATTTATTGGTTCCACTACTAAAACGGACTTAATTTTGCAACTCGCGCATTAGCCTAGAAAGCTACAATGTCACCTAAATGCTTTTAGAGACTAAATTATTTTATAAACCTATATACCAACATATGGACATTGACATGAAATATTCTATTATATCTTCAGCTTCTGGAGCATATGGAAGCATACCGTTAACATGACGTTGAAATATTGACGTATTTATAGCCACCTACTTCTCATTCGCTAACCAAAATATACATATAAAATGAAAACAGACACTAATACAGACGACATCAGCAAATGATTATCTCTAAAGATGATGAAACTGTCATTAAATTATAACTGTATTTTCATAATATTAAGAGATTATTCATCAAAAATGAGAAAAGTACTGCGACGAATCTGGTCGAGAAACTCCTATGTGTTAATAATAATAGATTATAGATATGTATACATACGCAGCTAATGTAACGACCGTTATATCATAAATACAAAAGGTAATACATTTCTTATTATTTTGTATATTTAATTTCTTAATTTAAGACTACACTAAAACGTTGAAACGGCCCCTTTAAATTAATAGGTGTCCAAGCTAGTGCCAGTTAGAAAAATAACGCGAAAACAAAACCACGAATTGTTTATTTTAAAATAGATTAAAACGCCAAACGTATATCACTCTGTAATCGACCATGCAAATAATTATATGACACAGTAGATTGTAAACATGTATTCAAATGAACCTCGTTTTTCTATTGTATAGAAAATTATTTACTATGTGAAATCTTTGTTTTTTTATATCGAAAACTATGAATTATGATAAAACCACACACAGAAATAGAAACGTAGCAAAATTTATCCACAATTGTGTTCAGGCGGTCCTGGGGTTCGCGATAGGTCCTATTTAGCCTGGGAAAAATTCGGTGCTTTTTCAGGAGGGAAACTTGGCAGGGTTTTGTCCCGAGTTAGATACGGTTACTATAAAGGCTAACAGTTTTGAAACAAAAAAATCCATAACATTTTGTATACAGTAGACGTTATTATTACACAAGGTAAGAATTCGTTAGCTACGTGAAGATTTAGTGTAACTGCGGCCCCGTTAGTGTTTACATTGTGTGAGTTAGTGTTTTGTTTGGGTGCTGTGTGAATGAATCTTAGCTAGCTAGCTAGAAGCTAGCTACGGCTGATTGGGGCAAAGAAGAGCCCGCTTCTTTGTCCTGGGCCGTTACGGGGGAAGCATCGTTCTCCGTCTGAATGTCCGTTTAAAGCCACGGCGCGAGAACTTACTTTAACTACAAAGGTTCGGCGGTCCCGGGGTTTGTTGATTAGGGAGCGGGCGCAGTTCGAAATGTGTGACTGTAGCCTCCATGGTAAGACGGGCTGGCTGAGGCGCACGCTATCAGACTCGCTGGGGTGCAGGTGAGACTTGGTCCCTGCAGACTGGGTACTGTTTATATCGTCTCATCTGGCGCTGAAAGGAGCTGTATTTCGCCACCATAGCATGCTACGACCAGCACTTTGAGGTTGGATTGATTGACTTAAAAGAGGAAGTAAATCGAACTGGTGATTGTTTTGGTGTCTAACGCACTTGAAACCATTTACTCTGATGCGTTTACCCGACTTCATCATCACTGATGTTTACATGTGAAAAAATTAAGTAAATCCTTTATTTACGGAAGAAGACGACGATGATGTATTTTTCAAGACCGCATTGGTGAAACAAGAAACCTTGACGGGAATTAGATAACAAAATACCGTGTTTTCAGTGCCTTACCGATGGCGGGCCTGGCCGGAGTGTGTGCTGTAGCCATTACCGGCGCCTCTTCCCTGGGTCGGGCTTGTGTTTTCAAACATTCCCGAAACATTTCTCCCCGGGAACGGCTTCTGATCTCCTCACCAGTCTTATTAAGGCAGTCAGCCATCTGCTGGTAGGAGCAGACCGCCTGTTAAAGCTATCCTGTTAAATAACCGGTGGCTTCCCATCACTCATCCAAATCTAAGGAATATTAATGAATGGTTAAGTGTTTTAGATAAAAAACACAGAAAGTACTGTTTGTAACTTTAAAATGGTCCTTTTCAGATCTAACAGTATAGCTTGTTGTAAACGGGCAGTGTTTCTTTGGTCCTTCAAGTACCTGTTTGTTAGGAATTCTGTTCCGTCATAATCTTTACCTGATTAATTTAAAAACGTCTGTTTGTTACACATACCTCTCCTAGCATTTTCTTTGAATGAAGGTATGGGATATGTCTAGTTTTACACTACCTGGAGGTTGTACTATGGGGATTTAATTTTATAACAATAATA